TTTGGGGTGTGAGTTTTCATTTTCATATATATATATATATATATATATATATATATATATATATATATATATATATATATATATATATATATATATATATATATATATATGTGTGTGTGTGTGTGTGTGTGTGTGTGTGTGTGTGTGTGTGTGTGTGTGTATATCACGAAAATAAACACGTGATAAAAAATGATGTGACAGTGTCAGACCACGGAGGAAAATTGAAACAGGAATTTCCTTAAGTACTTTCATATATTAATACATCTTCAGAAGGAGTCAATTCCAATTCAGAAGGAAATTCCTGTTTCAATTTTCCTCCGTGGTCTGACACGGATTTTATATATTTATTTATTTATTTATTTTATATTTTTATATATATATATATATATATATATATATATATATATATATGTCGTACCTAATAGCCAGAACGCACTGCTCAGCCGACTATGCAAGGCCCGATTTGCCTAATAAGACAAGTTTTCATGAATTAATGTTTTTTCGACTACCTAACCTACCTAACCTAACTTTTTCGGCTACCTAACCTAACCTAACCTATAAAAATAGGTTAGATTAGGTTAGGTAGGGTTGGTTAGGTTCGGTCATATATCTACGTTATTTTTAACTACAATTACAAAATATTGACCTCATACATAATGAAATGGGTAGCTGTATCATATCATAAGAATAAAAAGAGAAAATATATTAATTAAGGAAAACTTGGCTTATTAGGCAAATCGGGCCTTGCATAGTAGGCTGAGAAGTGCGTTCTGGCTACTAGGTACGACATTATATATATATATATATATATATATATATATATATATATATATATATATATATATAAATAAATAAATAAAATGTATGTGTAAAAACAACATAGTATAGTGGGAGGAGGAATGTTGGCGAGTGAGGGAGGGAGCCTCAGCTGACTGTGTGGCGACTTCAATTATTGTCTTGACTTACCATACCAGCTTAGTTGTACAGTTGGTTCACACCTTTTATTATATATCACACTACACACTTTAATAATATTACTGCAAAACAACGGAAAAAAAAATTATACATTGAAATAATTAGGTAATAACACCTTTGTGGAAACTCCTGCCTGACAGCTCGGGGGGAGCAGACCACCTCCGACACTTGACTGATTGATTGTTGAAGATTAAGCCACCCAAAAGGTGGCACGGGCATGAATAGCCCGTAAGTGGTGGCCCTTTTGAGCCATAACCAGTATCAGTAGATGATACTGTAGATCTGTTGAGGTGCGACTGCATCCTGCATGACAGGAGATGTCTCCCGTGTCCGACACTTGCTCTGTCAGCGCCTCTATTACCGGACTTCCCCCGCCCTATTGCGACCAAAAATATGCCACTTACGATTTTATTATTATTATTATTTCTCGTGATCAGGGAACACAAATGAACACTTTTATAAGACAAAAAAAATATTTTTGTTTATTTCTCGTGCCTGGGTATATTGCAGGCTATAATTGCAAGAGCAGCTCAGGGGTTAATGAAATCTGATAGAGTATTTAGGGCCTCATCCCAACCTATCCCAAGAGTATTTCTAGATAAAAAAAAAAGTCACCCAAGGACCATATAAAGAACATTGTGTGAGGAGCCTATGCTACATTCTCCAATTTCAGAATTGCCTTTAAATACAGTATATGGATGGTGAAATATTAAAGAAATTTATTCATGACTTTTGCGAGACCAAAGTTGGAATTTGCAGCTTATGTATGGTGCCCATATCTCAAGAAGCATATCAATAAACTGGAAAAGGTGCAAAAACGTGCAACAAAATAGCTTTTAGAACAAAGATGAGTTACAAGGAGTGGTTAGAGGCATTAAATATGCCAGAGCTTAAAAGATGGAAACAAAGAGGCGATATAATCACTACGTACAAAATAGTAAAGGGAATAAAAAAAATTGGTAAAGAACTTTTGAAACCTGGAACCTCAAGAACAAGGTCACCCCCATCCTCCAACCATGGAGCCCAACAATGGGTTAGGCATGAGCACATGGGTAATCTCAGGGGTAATGGACAGTATACAAGAATCGCTACTGAAGGACCTGGATAATATCAAAGGTACTGATTGGGATACCAACCTCACAGTAACCACTTGATCCGATGAGCTAACCAAATGAGCAGATTGATTCAGGTGGGTCACACAACCTCCCATTTTACCCTTGCCCTCCCACCAAAGAAGCATGTTGTCCTTTAGCCGCTGGGTAGGGTTAACAACTAGTTGAAGAAACATTAGGATATGCAGTAATTATCAAAGTGTAATTACAGGATGAGAGCTATGCTCGTGGTGTCCCGTCTTCCCAGTACCGTCGCATAACGCCTCCAATCTCTTCTATTAACTTGTTTTCAGTTCCGGAAGCTATTTTGTAGCATGCCATTGCACCTTTTCCAGTTTATTTATGAGATTTGGGCATCATTCAACTGCTGCATATTCCAATTTTGGTCTCAAAAAAGTCATGAACAGTTTCTTTAGTATTTCACCATCCATATAATTAAAAGCATATTTGAAGTTGGAAAGTGATGCACACACTTGTCTCTCAATCTCAAAACCACCCTTAGGTCTCGTTCTTTATTCGAGTTCTGTAATTTCTTTCCATGTAATTTGTGCTCCGATTCCACATTCCATAACGTGGCATTTATTCACATTGAATTCCATTTGCCACTTACATAGAAACCCCACTGGCATGGGGTTTCTATGCATGGCAAACACATGGCAGGCATTTTGTTTGTATACCACCACAGCAGGCAGGAGTCACTCCACACCTACCCGCAGGTGGTACACAAGGGAGTCCTCCCCCACAACATCAAGAAACGACTCTCTCCCGAGTGGTTCCTTGATGTGGCAATTACCATGCTGGAAAAGATTTATCACCATATATTTTATAATTTTTTATAGCAAATGACAGAACAAATTTTGTGCATATTTATATGCAAACAGTTTATAAAAAAGTTTACTTAACTTTTTAAATGCACATATTACAGCACTTTATGCACTGCAGATATTTCTGCAGTAAATACATAAGTTATTATAAAAGAATTTGAATGGCAAATGCAATCATCATGGATAACAGAGCACACTGTCATCTTCAGTCTTTGATCTGAATTATTTATATTTCATAGACACCCCACTACACCATAATCTTAACCACCGCACTGCGCACTTGGTTTCGGCAAAAACTTCATAGTGCCATTGTTAAGGACATAATTTTCTTGTTTTTATAACTGTTCAGGTAAAGTTAATGTCAAAATGTTTCCAAACTCAACATTTTCATTTCAAAACAGTGATGAAAACATTAAAATATAGCGTAAGTAAAAAAATAGCACAACTCTCAGAGCACCTTAGGGCGCTGTGTGCATTTGGGTGGTTAAAGCATGCCATCTAATAGCTATAATATATCCAAGGTGTCATTGTCTTAACCCTTTAACTGCGCAGCCTATAAATATGACACCCCCCACCCCCAGTGCGCAAGAAATGAAACCTCGGGAAAAAATTATTTTTTCTTCTGAAAGTGTAAAAAACCCCTCCCTGTATATGGGTATAGCAACGGAAGTTCGAAATTGTACTTACTTTGACTGCTATGGGGTCCGAAAGGTGGGGCGTGATGTCATCATTCCCCGTGCGCCAGAGCAGTATGCTCCCGGGGCCGGTGGGGCACCCGGGCGGGGCACGCGAGTTGCCGCGAATATATTTTTAATTTTTTGCGCCCAGTTCCAAATACATTTTATTTGTTTTTACGTGCTAATCCTATGTATAATGAACACGTACACTACATTATGGCAGTAAAACATCCGTACTGTCTGAAGACACTGTGTTACGTGCATGACACTTGTGTACACATATGTTGCACATATTTACCATGCATCATGCTAATTTATGTATATATACAATCTATTTACAGATCATACACTGTCACACACTATATACATTCACCATAAACACACTCAGAACACCGCGAGTGAGAGCAGCCACACCCAGCCAGCCCTCCCTCACTCCAACATCTTACTCGCCAACATTGCTCCTCCCACCATTCTGTTATTGTTCCTATTACACTAATTACACGTTATATATACCTATCTACATGTTTTATTTACCAGAACTATGCAAGTAAGCCAGTATTGTGTCCAAACAGTACAGTGGCCACCATACACTGCATGACAAATCACACAGCAGACAGCAGACGATGCCATGATTACAACGTCACCTCCCTCACCAAAATAGCTCCTCACAACATACTCCTGGTGCTGTTATTACACTTTATACACACTGTATATACACATGTACATGTGTTGCCCACAGCGAACCACTAAGCTAGTATGGTGAGCAAAACAAGAGTTACTGCCACAAAGTGAGGCTACCTTAATTCTCTCCCTTCCTCCCTCCCTCACCAAAATTCCTCCTTCCTATGCACAACGCTAATTATAACCACAATCCTGGTCACTAATACCTGTAAATGAATAATTGACCACAAGTTTATTTTGAAAAGAACCTAAAAAGTCGTTTGAAGATTCCTAGATGGACGAAATAATGCTGTGGTGCTGTGGCTAGCACTGTGAACATCGTGAACAGCATTGAATCACTGATATTTGAACATTGTACCCAGTCATTATCACACTCGGGCTCTTCTATAATACTATCATGGGTAAATAAAACAGATTATATATATATTTTGACAATATTAGGCGATGCTGTGGTCACACGCTGAACAGCAGTGCTGTGCGCTCATGCTGCGAGTGCCAGCCTTGGTTGCTCACTCACAACTGAGGCTCTGACACCCGGCAATGTGGACCATGATTTTTTTTAAAGATGGCATCTGTTTACAAGAGCCCTGAGGAAGCTGATGTGAACCCCATGTAGACGCGGGAGTTTTGAATGGAAAGTGAAAAATAATAACACCCGGAGGCGCGTTGCGCACCCGAAGCCTGGGCCTGCAGTCGCGTTGCGCAGTTAAAGGGTTAAGAACGTGCATTACTGTGCTTGCAAGTGAAACTTTAATATATTATGACAGTAGCAATTTCTTGGGTAGAATATTAAATGTTACAGGAATTGCAAAAATAAATGTTATCAAGTATTTATTAACAATAGACACAATATTTATATATACTGTTAAGATCAATTCTTCTGTTTCTGCACAAGATCAGTGGTGTCTCTTGTTTGGATGTATCTCAACTGCTTCTTCTTCATCTTCTTGATCTTCTTTGGATCTTTAATCTGAAAAAATGGAATTAATTAGATGAACTGCCAGATATTTCTAATTATCAAGTACAGTATAATGCAATCTCGATTTGGGGAACATCCAGTTGCAATGCACACTCTGCAGGATGGATATACTTGCCTGCTTTGTTTAAAACTTACTTGGCAAAGAGAATCGTGGTCAGAATTGATTAAGATGTGGGCCACTGACCTTGCCACTAAAAGTTTCAAATGAACTAAAATATTTATATATATAAAAAAAAACACATTGCATATTATATGTAACCTCACAAAGCAAATTTTTGCAACATTAGGAATTGTTAATGAAATATTTTCTCTTCAGGGGGAAGGAGTGAAATGCCACTAATGTGACATTTAGCTGTGGAATCCTTGTCACTTTTGTTAACTGACTGATCACACAAGTTTTTGTTTGCTGTGGTCTGTAACCATGTTTCTCATTGTTCATCTTACAATACCCTACTTCATTTATCTAGTATAAGCATATCGAGTATAAGTATAGTATCTTACCCACTTATCTAGTGTAAGTGGGTGTCGGGAGTGATTATGATGTCAAGAATAATGGGGGGGGGGGGAGGGGAAGGAAGGTGTTGGCAGGTGGAGTGGATGTGGTTTCAGGAATTCGTGGCAAAGTGGTAAGACGCTCGCCTGACGTTCTACGAGCGCTTTGTCCTGGGTTCGTATCCTGGCTGGGGAGGATTTACTGGGCGCAAATCCTTAACTGTAGCCTCTGTTTAACTCAACAGTAAAATGGGTACCAGGTTGTTAAACAATTCTTCGCGAGGATCGTATTCCAGGGAACTTAGGATTAAGGACTTGCCCGAAATGCTACGCGTACTAGTGGCTGTAGAAGAATGTGACAACTCTTGTGTATATATTATTTATATATATATATATATATATATATATATATATATATATATATATATATATATATATATATATATATATATATAAAAAAAAAAAAAAATGGGTGTTGAGTGTTGTATTGCAAATGGGTGCACCCGTTATTTGCACTTATTTGTTTGTTCATTCATTTAAATATTTACAAGAGTAAAGCAAAATTTGCAACCATTTTAGGGAAAAAGTTGTAATATCATCCAATGGCTGGCAATTTTCTCTCGTGCAGGTGGTGTGGGAGGTATCAAACAGGTTATTGACATGTCTAACCTGTTTATCCAGCCTTGCAGTCTGTCTAGCCTCATTCCACCAATTCCTCAATCAACCCATCTCTCACTCCATCCTTCCATCCACATTCCTCCCACTCCCTTGAGTGTCAAAGAGGTGTTTGGATGGTATAATAACAATTAGCAATTCAAGATAATTCAATGTATTCATCTTTTTACTGAGGCTCCAGGAGGGAACTAAGGCTTTCGATTTTTTCCAATATGGTAAACAATAGCCAGAGGTCTCCTAGTGTCGAATGATGTCCAAACAGAATTGGTGGGACTTTTGAATACAATATTATGGGGCCCATCTAGTCTCGTGTAGGCAATTGGGGCACAGGTGGCTATCATTTGAGGGCAACAGAAGTACTTGAAGGATTAAACACTCAATTGCTTTTCTTAATGAGAACAAGAGCAGGCATGGGAAAAACAAAAATTGTAACAGTTCACAGATTCGGATCTCAGTACTGTAATCAATCTCCAGGTAACTCGGCCAAAATCACGACCAATAACTACAAATACATTGAAAGATATTACAGAAAATCATTAGTGAGTAGAAACACCTATATTTCCTTGCTAAAATAATTGAATCTTGTGAACTAGCCATGTGTTTCTGCCCTCTCATGTGATACACAAATGATGAATGACATTGTCTTATGGTGACTTGTCACCCCTGCAATATTTTAACATCCTGCTAGTTCTATGGGGACATTATTTGCCAACAGCAACTAATACAGATCATTTGCAATACTGGAAAAACTTTATAGATATTTAGTTCCTTTCTAGACCTTAGAGTAAACACACGTGACCTGTCTGGTGTATCACCAGTTAACATGAAGTGCAGTCCTACTACAGTCAATTGATGCTATGCAAAATTAAATGAACTTCAAACAACTTAGAAGCCTTTAGCGATGAAGATAAATATATTACATGTAGTTAACTTAAATACATTATGATGTATCGGAACATTAAACAAGTTGCTCTAACAGAAAGAAGAATGAGAATGAGGAGTAAGTGTCGTCTTACTTACTAAGGTTAACACAGCGCAAAGTTCTGGAGAAGGAAACAATACCCAAACGGTCTGACAATACCAAACCTGAACATATTGTGTAGCAAAACTGATTCTGTTAGAGCTCAGCTGACTGACAACTATGGCACCACTGCCCTATTTGCAAGGTACCGCGATAATCTGATGGTCATTTTAGTTGAATTTAGGTCTATCAGAACTGTAGTTCAGAAAAATCATTGGCAATTTTTTTTATAATAAATATTATTCATTTGGAGGAAACTTTGTTATTGATATTATATAGTGTATTTTTAGCAGCAGTTACCCTGGGATGGTTTGAGTTATGCTCTCCACTGAGATTCCTGCTTCTTAGAAGGAAAACAAAATAATTTTGAAGGATACTTCAAGTCCTGCAACGAGGAGGCCAGGTCGACGACCGGGCCGCGGGGACGCTAAGCCCCGAAATCATCTCAAAGGTAAGGTAATTGTCTTCTGAGACAAATCTAAATCTGGTGCAAGGGCTGTCCTAAAAAGACCACAAATAGAAAGTATAGAGATGATACTGAGGGGGGCTCTAGCTCAGAAAAGTACATATTGTAAAAAAACCAGCGTTGAATGTAATGAAACGCCATTTTCTGGGTGAGACCCGGAGGCTCCCCGGAGCTTTACAGGCTGATATGCTAATGTCAGACTTTGGCATCAGTCATGTGTATGGAGTTCTAGGGCCTACCGGGGACCACGAGCCAGAACCTGGCCCCCTCAGAGAGGCAAGGGGAGCAATGGCCTATAGAAACCCTCGTGTGGTTGGAAGCATTCTATGTCTGCCATCGACCGGGTCAAGCATCCAGAAAGGTAAGCATTCCAAAACAAACCCCTATTCTGGTGAAAATTGCTTCCTAAAGCCGAACTAGTGGATAGAACTCTTCAACAGAAAACAAGGAAACTAGTATGAAGTCATACGTCACCTCGCCGCTGTCTGCGCAACTCCCCCCTCCCCGGGAGGGGGAAGGGGGAGCCCCAGACCTCCCACGCCGGCTATCCACCCATCAGTTCTGAGGCTGGATGTCAAAACACGCGAAAAACGCCAACCGGAGGGAGGGAGGGTTGCCGGGAAGCCTCCGGGTCTCACCCAGAAAATGGCGTTTCATTACATTCAACGCTGGTTTTCTGGGGGGAGCCCCGTCGGCTCCCCGGAGCTAACTACCCACAGAGGAAGGTCAAAGGGACAGAACCGGGAGGCGGACACCACGCACCCCCCAAGGAGTCGAGACAACCGACAGCAAACGCCAACCCAAGGCGCCACAGCCCCGAAAATCCCGGGAACAACATGAGAACCACGAGCAGCAAGGCCCCTGCACAAACACCAAAAATCCATGCCCGAAAGACCGCAAGGCCACGTCGCCCAGACGGCAGCGAGAGCAGCGAGAGCAGCGAAGCCACGAACGCCACAGGCATGAGGGAAGAACACAGGCAGCTGAGCCGCAAGAACACGGCTGACCACCCGGGACACTATCACCCGCGAACCGGGAAGAACAGAACCGGATCAACGCAAAACGCGCTCCGGACCCAAACGCCGTGGCACGCAAACAACAGCGGAGGGCCGCCACTGAACACAAAAACGACACACCCCCGGCCCGACCAACGAAGCACCCACAAACCCTGGACCCCTCCAGAATGCAGCAGCCCCACCCCGCGCCAGAAAAGATGGAGACTGCTGCCACCAAACAACCAAAACGCTAAAACCGAAGGAGCAAGAAAACTCAGCGACTCGACCCCCAGAGGCAAAGGCCCAAAGGAAGAGCCGACGAAAAAACACACCGGAACCGAAGGGGCACTACCAATTGAGGAGAAGACAGAGCACGCTGACCAGAGACCAGGATGGTGCAAGCGGCGCACGAACAGGCCGGAGGTGAAACGACACACAAGACAGCTGACTAACGGTGCAGAAGCAACACCAAGACCGAAAGCAAGCTGAAGTGGCTCCGCCTGCGCCGCACGAAAAGAGGCGACAGTATGTGGCAAGACGACGGCCCCCAACCCCCACCAGAAAACCAAGCCGAGAGTAAACCAAGCTAACAAGAGTAACCACCTAAGAAGGGACAGGAAAAGGAAGGACCGCCAAAATACCCCATACTGCCACCTAGAGAAGCACGCAGGTGGGACACCTACCACGAAGCCACCCGACCACCAACCGGAGGCGAGACCGCGAGGCAGAACATAAGCAGTCCCGACAAGGCCCCTCCGAGCCCAGGAAAAAGGCGGAGCCGCGGGAAGATCTCGGGCGCGACCACCGAAACCCTGGCGGCACAAGGAGATGGAACGTCTGCCGAACAGAAAAACTCCCCAAAGCATGCAAGCCCGCCAGGAGTTCAGAAACGACGGGTCCGACGCGAGACATCGCAAGACCCCAAAAAAAAAGCAACCGGCAGGGCAAGCTAGGAAACCAAAGAAGGCGGAAGGGTCGCCGCCAGAACAGTACCCGAACCAAGGGGTACGAACAACTGCAATAGACCGAGACAAAGAAGCACATCACAGGACACAGGCTGACAAACGCTAAGAACACAGAAAACCCCTAAGAACACACGCAGAACATCCCTGCTGCAGAGGAGGCAGGAAGAAAGAGCAAAAGCACAAAAACCCCAGGAGAACAACCAGGGGTGGACAATCAGGCAGGGACAGAAAAACCCCACGCAATCCCCAGGCACAAAACGGCAGCAAAGTGCCACTCCACAACCGGACACAGGAACAAGGACACGCCACTGTGAAACACGGTACCAATGCACACGTGCAGCAGCAGCAGCAACAGGCACCACTGCAACATGCAACATGTAAATAGCAACTCTCTTCTGCAAAGGCAGAGAACGGAGCAGGCAGACCCCAGACAGGGCCAACGGAGACACGACAAAACCCTGCAGGCCCAGAAACCTGCACCAGGCGACCGACGGCGGAGAAACCCCGCTCGATACCTGCTGGATGAGGTACTGGGAGCTCTTTTACACCTGAAGCCCGGCCCAAGGCCAGGCTAGACTGGCCAGAGGGTGGCCCACCAGGCAGTTGCTAGGAGCAGTCCACCGGCCCACATACCCCCACAACCAGGACGGGCCGGAACGGCCATACGAAAACAGGCTAGTGCGCCCTGGAAGTCCACGGACGAACCAGCAAGAAGGCTTATGCTCGCAAGTAAGTCGTGTAACAAGCACAGACCTCTGATGGTAATGCAGTGTTCCCCAAATGTGCCAAGAGCACCACTGCACTCCACTGGTACTATCCCGCAAGTTCTACCAGATAAGCGGGACCCACGAGCCAGAGCTCAAATCCTGCAAGCACAGCCAGGAGCCTTACCAGGTGAGTACAGAACCAACCCTACAACCCCCACACCTCACAACATTAAAAAGGAGGGTCCCCAGAATGACTCCAGCATGGGTTGGACATGCACATGAAGGGGGAGAGGAAGGGTTGAAAAAGGGACAGTCACTGGTGTGCAAACGGTCTCAGCCGTACAAAATATACCTAAATAAAGACAGGTATAGAAACAACACCGCATCCAGCGCCCAGCCAAAAGACGCCAGACCGCAGAAACTCACCTGACGAATGGTGGCACGAACTTGACACGACTCAACCGTGCCCAGAAGAACCTGGAGCACCGCCAGGTGAAGACGCCAGAGCCGGACCCTGCCGGACCCCCAGGAGAGCAGGGAGAGGCGAAGGAGGCGGTCCACACCCATGACACAGGGAAAACCGCGGTGTCCTCCCCACAACTGGGAACCAGGACACCCCCGGCACGAAGGGGCACATACCGCAGCCAGGGAGAAGAACGAGAGGCGAAGCACTGTAGCAAAAAGGGCGCAAAACACCATCAAAAACCCCGCCCCGAACCTACAGACGGTAAGGAACCGGATGCAGGCAGGAAGGGTGATCCAGGGGAAAGACAAGGGGGCGTGGATGGAACCGAAGCAACCAACACACCCCCAAGTCCCAAAACGAACTACAACGAGGCAGCCCCGGGGCTCCTAGGGAGGAAACCACGAGAACGTTGCCACCACCAAGGCTCAAGTGCAACGCCCCTGCTGCCCGCACCCGCTTTGTTAGCACAACTGGGTAACCGAGCCACAACGAGCAACCAAACTCGCAGGACTCCGGGTCGAAGGTGTCACCGACCCCACAGGCAGCAGACGGAGGCAAAACAGAGAGTCGCCCAGAGACAAAGGGTGAGAGCAACCCTCAAACTCGCTGGAAGCGAGGGGGGGACTCTGGGGTCACATCCATTGGACCCGCGCGCCCCCAGGGGTTTCCCAGGGTCCCGAGTGTTTACTATAAGAGGACTCGCGCTCAGGTAATCCCAGGCAGGGTACTGCTAACCGGCACCCAAAGCTACCAAACAACTTTCTAAGAGCTGAACCCCCGGGACGTGTACACTCACGGGGACCTAGCAGGGGTACCACCAGAAAATACTCAGAACACAAGGGACACAAGAGGCAAAAACGAAGGCAGACCCCCCACCAGGTAGATAAACAAAAAGAAAAAGAAAACCCCGCAAGAGGACAGCGTACCCAAGAGGAACAGAGCCGGCCGCTATGATTGGTAAAGACAAGCTGCACAGTACCCTGCGCCCCACCAGTGCAAAAACTGCCCCTTACTCTAAGGCGAACAAGGGAGACAGAACACCCGAGCACACAAAGAGCGGCCGAAAACCAAGCAGTAAACGGCCAAGCAGGGGCAGGACCCAAGGAACTTGTGGAAGGTGGCCCCAAGGGCAGTACTTACAGGGCACCTAGGGAAGGGAACCCTAGGCGCATGCAGCCCGAGTACTGGAGAATCACTCCCGGCTTACGCACCACCTAGAAAACAGACACCACACTCTAGGTACAGTGCTGAAACAACCACTGGAGCCGGAGCACATAACCGGTGCCTATAGCATCAGCCAAAGAACTGATGGGTGGATAGCCGGCGTGGGAGGTCTGGGGCTCCCCCTTCCCCCTCCCGGGGAGGGGGGAGTTGCGCAGACAGCGGCGCGGTGACGTATGACGTCATACTAGTTTACTTGTTTTCTGTTGAAGAGTTCTATCCACTAGTTCGGCTTTAGGTAGCAATTTTCACCAGAATAGGGGTTTGTTTTGGAATGCTTACCTTTCTGGATGCTTGACCCGGTCGATGGCAGACATAGAATGCTTCCAACCACACGGGGGTTTCTATAGGCCATTGCTCCTCTTGCCTCTCTGAGGGGGGCCAGGTTCTGGCTCGTGGTCCCCGGTAGGCCCTAGAACTCCATACACATGACTGATGCCAAAGTCTGACATTAGCATATCAGCCGGTAAAGCTCCGGGGGAGCCGACGGGGCTCCCCCCATAAAAAAAAATTTAGCATGAATATACATGCAGAAAGCGTATTTCCTATAAACTGTTAAATTATTAATTTAAAAGTGCAATTATTTTAATATAATTTTATTGGGCTTACCACTTGTACTATTTCAGATTTCCTGGCATTTTCCTCGGTACGTATTTTGTTTAGGCGTCGTCGTTCCTTTAATTCATCCTTTTTCCGTTGTTTCTCTGCTTCCAGTGCTAAACTCTTTGCCACAACATTCTGTCGATCTTGCTTTATCTTCATTTTCTTTGACCAAGACTTTTTGCCTGTTGCATCCTTATTAATGGATCTAAACCTGAGAGTTACAAAACATTAAATATGTTAGACAATTACTAAGTGAGATTACACCACCTACATATAGAAATACTCCTAGAGATACACACAATGGAGATATCTGGAGAGGGAGATTGAGAAATTATTATTATATATAAATATATATATATATATATATATATATATATATATATATATATATATATATATATATATATATATATATATATATATATATATATCTATATATATATATATATATATATATATATATATATATATATATATATATATATATATATCTATATATATATATATATCTATATATATATATATCTATATATATATATATATATCTATATATATATATGTCGTACCTAATAGCCAGAACGCACTTCTCAGCCTACTATTCAAGGCCCGATTTGCCTAATAAGCCAAGTTTTCATGAATTAATGTTTTTTCGTCTACCTAACCTACCTAACCTAACCTAACCTAGCTTTTTTTGGCTACCTAACCTAACCTTACCTATAAATATAGGTTAGGTTAGGTTAGGTAGGGTTGGTTAGGTTCGGTCATATATCTACGTTAATTTTAACTCTAATAAAAAAAAATTGACCTCATACATAGAGAAAAGGGTTGCTTTATCATTTCATAAGAAAAAAATTATAGTAAATATATTAATTCAGGAAAACTTGGCTTATTAGGCAAATCGGGCCTTGAATAGTAGGCTGAGAAGTGAGTTCTGGCTACTAGGTACGACATATATATATATATATATATATATATATATATATATATATATATATATATATATATATATATATATATATATATATATATATATATAATAATATGTGTGTGTGTATATTCACTAAATTGACATGTAAAGAACAGTGTAATAGAAATGTCAACTAGTCGTGATCAATTAAAAATTCTATTTGGAGGAATGACTTAAGTTCATGAAAGAGGGTGGCTTTGCAAGGGGGAAAAAAAAAAGTGTGTGGGAGATGGGATGTGCAGATTGATTCAAAGAATGGATAGAAGCCGCTCTACAACAAGAGTGGCTGTGATGGAAGGCTCAGGAATAACAGGGTTCTTACCTTAGGGAATGGAAACAACAGAAGTCTCATCCTCATATCAGACATAGACAAGAACACAACCTATAGCACTGTATCATCCTTTGCAGATGACACTAGGATCTTCATGAGAGTAGGCAACATAGAGGACACGGCAACCCTCCAATCAGATGTAGATCAGGTCTTTCTATGAGCTACAGAAAATAATATGGTGTTTAACGAAGATAAGTTCCAGCTCATGCGCTACGGAAAAAATGAAAATACAAAAACGGAAACCACGTACAAAACTCAGGCAAATCATAACATAGAACGAAAAGGCAATGTAAAGGATCTGGGTGTATTCACGTCAGAAGACCTTATCTTTAAAGAACACAATAAAGTAGCTGTCACAACTGCAAGAAAAATGACAGGTTGGATAACAACAACTTTTCACACTAGAGATGCTGTACTAATGATGATACTTTTCAAAACGCTTGTGCTCTCTAGAGTGGAGTACTGCTGCACAATGACAGCCCCTTTCAAAGCTGGAGAAATTGCTGACCTGGAGAGCGTGCAGAGATCCTTAACTGCTAGAATCCACTCAGTAAAACATCTAAACTACTGGGACCGACTAAAGAGCCTAAATCTGTATTCCCTTGAGCGCAGGCGGGAGAGATACATAATAATCTATACGTGGAAAAAAAATGAAGGGCTGGTCCCAAACCTGCACACAGAAATAACATCACATGAGACCAGAAGGCATGGCAGGATGTGCAGAATACCCCCGTTGAAAAACAGAGGTGCAACAGGTACTCTGAGAGAGAAGAACTATCAACTATGATATAGAGAACTTTATCAACAAGTCACAGCTTCGTATCATCCTTTGCAGATGACACAAAAATCAGCATTAAAATTACCTCGGCTGAAGACATTGAAAAACTTCAAGCTGATATTAATAAAGTTTTCGACTGGGCATCAGAAAATAACACGATGTTTAACAGTGATAAATTCCAGGTATTCAGGTTATCTTGAGATGATTTCGGGGCTTTAGTGTCTCCGTGGCCCGGTCTTCGACCAGGCCTCCACCCCCAGGAAGCAGCCCGTGACAGCTGACTAACACCCAGGTACCTATTTACTGCCAGGTAACAGGAGCATGGGGTGAAAAAAAACTCTGCCCATTGTTTCTTGCCGGCGCCTGGGATCGAACCCAGGATCACAAGTCCAGCGTGCTGTCCGCTCGGCCGACCGGCTCACAGGTACGGTAAAAATGAGGACCTTAAACATAATACAGGGTACAAAACACAATCAAATGTGCCCATAGTTGGAAAACAGCATGTAAAGGATTTGGGAATAATGATGTCTGACGACCTAACGTTTAGGGAGCATAACCAAGCAAATATTGCGACAGCCAGAAAAATGATAGGATGGATTACGAGAACTTTCAAATCCAGGGATCCCATCACAATGGTTGTACTCTTCAAGTCACTTGTGTTGTCCCATCTTGAGTACTGCTCAGTACTCACTTCCCCCTTCAGAGCAGGAGAGATTGCTGAAATAGAGGGAATACAGAGAACATATACGGCACGCACAGACGCGATAAAGCACCTAAATTATTGGGATCGTCTCAAAGCCCTCCAAATGTACTCACTAGAAAGAAGACGAGAGAGATATCAAATAATATACACCTGGAAGATACTGGAGGGCCAAGTACCAAATCTACACAATAAAATAACAACGTGCTGGAGTGAACGATATGGAAGAAAATGCAGAATAGACCCAGTGAAGAGCTGGGGTGCCATAGGCACAATCAGAGAATACTGTATAAACATCAGAGGTCTGCGGTTGTTCAACACCCTCCCAGCAAGCATAAGAAATATTGCCGGAACAACCGTGGACATCTTCAAGAGGAAACTAGATTTATTCCCCCAAGGAGTGCCAGACCAATCGGGCTGTGGTGGGTATGTGGGCCTGCGGGCCGCTCCAAGCAACAGCCTCTCGCAAGTCAAGCCTGGCCTCGGGCCGGGCTTGGGGAGTAGAACTCCCAGAACCCCATCAACCAGGTATCAACCAGGTATCATCAGAGGCCCGAGACTGTTCAACACTCTTCCACTACACATAAGGGGGCATAACTGGCAGATCCCTCACAGTGTTCAAGAGAGAACTTGACAAACACCTCCATAGGATACCTGATCAACCAGGCTGTGACTCATACATCAGGCTGCAAGCAGCCGCGGCCAACACCCTGGTTGATCAGTCCAGCAACCAGGAGGCCTGGTTGACCACCAGGCCGCGGGGATGCTAAGCCCCGGAAGCACCTCAAGGTAACCTCAAGGTAAGGTAACAGAAGGCAGAGCTGCAGAGTGTATAACGTTTGTGACCTAAATGTCAGATTTTAAATGGTGGGAAGGATGGTGGACAGGGCAGAGATAGAGTTCAATATCACCCATAACAGTAGATGTAGGAGGACCAAGGGAAAAATGGCATGAAGGTTTTGAGGTGTGTAAACACATGTAGAGGCATGAGTCCAAGTCATGGAGGTAAGAATGTTACAGCAATTCCAAACCAGCACATGGGTAGGATAATGTAAGGGAAGGGGGTGTTGAGGGGTGTTGCATAAGAAGTGCAAGTTTACATTAGGGAGGGGAAGTGGCCCAGGTGTTTTAATTTGCATCTCACCTTGAAAAAGAAAATATTGTCTTTGAGCTTGAGTTGCAGGAAGGAATGATCTAATTTCAAATTCACACGACTGATCACTGCCACAATTTATATAGTTCTGGCTGGAGAATTCTATCAACACTAAAGACCCAAGACTATTCAATACACTCCTTCTAAACATAAGGGGCATAAGTAGTAAATTTTTTGTGGTGTTCAAAAGAGAACTTGGTAAACACCTTTAAAGATACATGATCAACTGGGCTGTGATTCAAGTGTCAGGCTGTGAGCAAGGGCATCTAACAGCCTGGTAGACCAGACTACTAACCTGGTGATCTGGTCCAAAATGACGTCATTTTCCACTAACCAGGAAGCTTCGTCAATCCATGAGGAGACATTGTTCCTCGGAAATACCAGTAATACAAGGTAGGACTGCACAGATTGATATAGCATAACCAGACTTGCCACAAAAAAAGCAAAGGAGCATCATATTCTGATAAACTCAAGTACTATGGCCAAACTTCCAACAAGAATTGCATAAGAGTAGGAAACAGACTTATTTGCCGACAAAATTGACGACTTCCCTAGTCTTGCCCAAGAATCCCAGAGATTGGGGAAGCTCTTGCTAATGAGTAATTTTTATAAAATTTACAATGCCATATGCCAGTGTGTTAGGAGTGGGGTAGGTGTATAAGTCAACCTGAATAATGGCACACCTTTGGCATTCTAAATAACCTCTATAGAGCTAAAAATATTTTTTTTTTTTACATTACAAAGGAAATGTAAAAAATGATCTTCCCAAATTACCTTTCACTCTGAACTGCACTGTTATTTAAAAGTACTAAATCAAGGTGTATGACTAAAAATAGTTAAAAAATGTAAAAATATGCATTTTTCCATTTATTTTGTTATTTATATATTCAAGAGTTTTACATTCTTGTACAGCCACTAGCATGCATAATGTTTTGGACAAAAAAGCAGCCCGCAGCAGCTGTCTAATTTCCAGGTATCTATTTACTGCTAGATGAACAGGTGCATTAGGGTGAAAGAAACTCAGCCCATTTGTTTCCGCCTCCACCGGGGATCGAACCCGGACCCTTAGGACTACGAACCCCGAGTGCTGTCCACTCGGCTGTCAGGCCCCTTGCACCTGGAGCACAGGAGAAATTTTAGAAAGTGATTGGAACAGTGTAAAGGTTAAAAAAATTGCTTGTTACTTTGACAATAAGACAAAAAATTTATACTGGTGCAAGATATTAATTAACCAAAATTGAATGATTCAATGCATAGAGTATCACCAGCTGCTACTACCTTCTATTGTTTATCACCCTGAAAATTGCCCCAAAACACTCAAATTTCAGCACATACTATTATCTCTAATCATTTAATTACTGCAGTTCACATCCAGTGAATATCAAAAGCAAAATAAAATTACCTTTCCTTTTCCTTCTTCCACCACCTTCCAGACACTGGTAGTCCCCGAGGAATGTTTTTCAGATCAATAAGCCTCTTTGCAAGCTCGAAGTTTTCATCAGACATTGTTATACTATTATTGATTTGTCTTCTCTTATCATGAATCTTAAGCTTTGCAAGTTGACAATTTTCATTTTTTACAGCAGAAGTTATGTCTGTTGTGCTAGAAACCTCTCGATCTTTGCTCGGCATCTCTTCTGAATTTATAGGTTTTAATGGAGCTGTGCTACTTCTCACATCATCATCTTCAGTCACCACAGTTGTAGAAACTGTCTCATCCCCCACCACTGCTGTGTTTTGTCCGTTAATAGTTGTCACTGGCAGACTACAACTATCTTCATCAAGCCCAACCACATCAATTTCTTTGTCATTTGCTATATTTTCTATTTCTCTTGTTATACTTTCTTCACTAGTTACATCCAATGTTGACATGTTAAGTGTTTCAGCGACTCTTGCATTTGTTTCTTTTACTAGACCTTCAGAAGATACAGTTTTGGATTCTGGAATCACTTTCTCATTAGTCTTAAAACATTTTGACAAGTCAGAGTTGCCATCTATACCCACCAGTTCTTCAACTGGCCTGGATTTTATTGTGGGTTTTTCTTCCGGGTTTTGACACAGTGTCTCCTCTCCACATATAAGGGCTTGGGAAATATTGTCAATATCCATCTGCTCATCACTTTCTTCAATCACATGCAGAGAGCCCTTTAATTCTTTGACTTCACATTCTGGTTTCTTGTGTATGTTTATTTGAACCACATCACTTGCTTCATTGGAAAGCTCAGGAGTCCCCGCTCCATTCCGACGTCTGGGTCGTCCTGCTGGAGCTCGTAATTTGGAAACATCTGGGCTGTCAGTTACTGTGTCTTGACCGATATCACCTGATAACCTTCTTGAACGTCTGGTTGGGGTCGGAAGGTCTGTATCTTGGCTGCCAACTGAAGCCCTTTTTGAACGTTTAACTGGAGTTTGGTGTTCATGCACAGGTGTACCTGAACTCTCGGGTAACAATATCCCAGTAGGTTTAACTTGAGCCTGAGAAGCAGGCTTCCGTTTATTTCCGGAATTAGTAGAGGGTATTGAATTTTGTTTTGCCAGAGTTTCTGTCTGTGCTTGAGCACTTTTATCACCTGAGGTTAGTCGGATACGTCTGGTGGTTGGAAGAGTCTGTGCAAGAGAGAGATCATGATCTCCAGATAATCTGCGAGAGCGTCGGACAGGAGCGGCAGGTCTGGGGGCTGGCGAGTCTCTATCAGTCTGATCCTTAATTACCAACCTTCCACGAGACGCTGAATCTGGGGGGATGCTGGGGTCTTCATCTTCCCCACCATCTCTGCTCTTACCACGAGGAGCTTGTCTGGTCTTGGGTTCACTTTGAGAACTATCTCCTGTAGTTTTCCGCGTCAGCACCATTATTTAACCGACAATGGAACTACTTCCACGTGTGAAGACACGGCCCTTCTACACTACCAAACCCAGCTTTAAATCCTGCTTATGTTCCAGTGATAACATTGATAAATTCTATCACAATAGCTTGTGTAATTACTAAGAAAACACTAGATATTTTTTTAAAATGTATTTCCAAACGTCTATGAAAAATAAATTATTGTTTATTGGGTAATTTTTATCTTTTCAAACATTAACTACAATAAGTAACCCATTTATATGTGACAACGACACCGCTGCCACAGCATGAGTAGCTTAGACTAAATACTAAAATTTATAATAAAAAGTATTAAACAAAATGATAATAGATAATTACATTCAATATAAATAGAAATATAACTTTGGAGGCCAAATGTTTCACCTAATCTAATTTAGGTGTGATTTTGCAGTACGAGATGTTAGGGAAAAGAGCGGCAGCGTTCCCATGTTTTGTAACTTACTGTATACAAAATTTCGTACTACACGCGTATAATTTTTTAAATATATTTATTTATACTGCTATACAACATGGTACTTGTGTAAGTACATCGTGATAAAATGGTATATTCAAACAAAGCCCTAGCATACATTCCGTATGCAGGGAACGCGTGGTTTTTAGTGAAATTTGATTAATAGAGACCCTTGAAATTGAAATTGAAATTGAAAAAAGTTTATTGATGTAAAATACACACAAAGGGATGAGGTAGCTCAAGCTATTCTCACCCCGTTCAGTACATCGTGTTAATACATACATATACACACATCACAAACAATAAACATACTGTATTACCAAACATTCTGAGAGATAAACATATACATTTCCTCCTTCACAAGTAGTATGGTATCAGACGTACACACAAATACTTTTATGACCTAGGTATACTGTATAGACAATTTGCAAGAGACATGCAGATAATCCCTTACCCATCCTTGTAGAGGGAAGATTACAGTCACATAATGAGTTCAGGAAGTGCACGAACCTATATCGATAGCAAGCAAACTTTTGCTCTAATATTTGTGCTAATATATAATTTTCGATCAAATCTTTAGGGTCGCGTTAGTATAATCGGGTTCGTTCTCCACTCAGTCGAGAATTCCAGGTTCGAATCCCAGGAGGGACACAAATAGATGGGCGCATTTCCTATCACCTAATGGGTCTGTTAACCTAGCAGTGAGTAAGTACTCAGGAGTTAGTCAGCTTGTAGGGTTGCATCCTGGGCGGGGTCAGTCATTCCACTTTGGGAGAGCTTATGGCTGCCTCCCCCCTCCCCCCCCCCCCACCACACACACACACAATGAATTATTATTATTATTATAAATTATTTAGACATTTCTTGAACATTTATGATAATAGATTTCCCATACTTTCCCTGGCGATGTCTACATCCGCAGGTGGCAATCTGTCATCAGCATACCATAGTATTTATGTCCCCCTAATACTCATAGTTCCTATGATGCTAATGTTCACAGTTTCCCTGTGGTAGATATACAGTTATTAGCTATCACCAGGCACCATCCCTTCCTCACGTGCCATAGTATATAGTACCCAACCCATAGTACCCGTCCCATCGCTCCGTAGACAGCAGAATAGTCTGTTTGCTCAACTTTTAATAATAATTGTAATTTTCCATTCCCACTTCTGGTGAACTCACCTTATGCAGCTTTCTTATAAGGTCTTCAACGGCTGTAAAGATCTGTAAACGTTAAGATTAACTAGTCACAAGATTTCTTAAATCTTGTGGGGGTTGAGCTGTGGCTCTTTGGTTCCGCCTCTCAACTTTCAATCAACTGGTTTATGGATTCCTGAGCCTACTGGGCTCTATCATACCTATATTTAAAACTGTGTATAGAGTCTGTCTCCATCACATCACTGCCTAATGCATTCCACCTGTTAACTACTCCGACAAAGTTAAATAATTATTATTAATAATAATTTATCACCTGCATATGCTTCTGCTAGTTCCAGGGAATCCCTTGCTTGAATTGTATAATATGAGCTATGTAACTGGGGAGCTTCCAAAGTCATGGACCAACAGTCTTATTATTCCCATTCCTAAACTAAACCAGCAGAGTGCTTTTCGCCCAATCTCCCTCACTAGTTGTCTCTGTAAGTGTCTTGAGAGGATGGTTCTCAACCGTCTCCTTTACAGAATTAGTAACATGTTGTCTCCCCAGATATATGGCTTCACGCATGGAAAGAGTGTACATCACTGTATTACCACATTCCTCACCCTGCATACTGATAGGTCATACACCACTTTCCTTGATCTTAAGTCAGCCTTTGACATTGCTAACCCACACGTCATTCTGAGCGAACTTGCTAAAATGAATGTTGGAGGATGGCTTCTACGGTGGATAAGAGGCTATCTATCCAACAGGAAGTCATCTGTACTGTTCCAAGGGCATAGGAGTGTAACGAGAGATTTTGAACTTGACACTCCACAGGGAGGTGTCCTCAGTCCTACTCTGTTCAATGTGTAATCAATGCACTTTTAAACTCAGTAACTAGGAGACCCAGCGAACACATCATTAGCTATGCGGATGATATACTGATCCACACCAATGGGTATACCAACACCCAAAATGTTCTGAACTCTGTACTGCACACATGTCAGGAACTAGGCTTGGTCATCTCAGTAGAGAAAACAAACATCCTGCACCGACACCCACCCAGACGGGGTGGGGCCGTTCGCAAAATGCAGTTGCATGATGGCTCTCTGCTCGACTATGTAACCAGATACAAATACCTTGGTCTTGAAGTTCCACTGTACCGCAATGTTGTAGCCAGACTGGGTCTGGCTACAATGTTGCGACTGGGCAGGCTACCATCCAAGCTATGGTACAAATGTGAGAATTGTCAAAATGATGTATCTTTCATATATTAGGTCTCTGATTGATAATGCTGCACACATGCTTGCTCTAGTGCCTGAGAGAATGCTTGGAGGGCTGGAAAAGATGCAAAACGAAGCCATGAGGATAATCCTCGGGTGCCCCCGTACAACTAAATTACTAAACATGAGGAAGGAACTGAATATTTTATGTGTAAGTGATCGTATCACTGAAATTAATGCTTTAATTGGTATCAAGATGCTTAGGCTAACCTACCCTAACCCCTGCACTGAAGCCCTCCAAGCCTTCTTCTTTGAAGATCAGCATCCCTCCAAATGGATTGCCGTAACTGCCAATGTGCTCAGAATGTATAACTTTCATCACCCCTACCAAGAGAGACAACAACATCACTTTCCAGCCCCATGGGAGATCACTCCTTTCCAAATTACTGTCCCCTCTTTCCCACCTAAGAAGCTGATTAAAGAAAAAGCCTTGCTTCGACAAGAAGCAAAGTACAATGCCCTAAGCCAAATTGATACTTTAGTCAGAGAGCGCTCCCTTTTCCAGATTATTTACACTGATGGGTCCTTGCACCAGTCCTATGGTGCAGCTGGAAGTGCAGATGTTGTGACAGGGAGAGATGATTCCGTCTCCCATGAGTGTGGAGCGCGTCTCAGTAACTGGGCCTCCACTCTTCAGACAGAATTGGTTGTCATAGTCCTTGCACTCGAGCGCGTATATGAATCCAAAGTTGACACGCTAATTGTGACTCCTTGTCATCCTTGACAAGGAGTCAATGATGACAAGGAGCTCCTAAGTTATGCCCTAAGGCATAACTGTGACGTGCTTATCTCTGAAGCTAGACACAGATATAATGAAATAATCAATGATGGAGTCAGAGTTTGTCTCCTGTGGATTCCTTCCCATATTGGTCTCCGAATGCATGATAGAACTGATGAGTTGGCCAAGACTTTTGCTCGTAAAGAGGGAATTGATTACCAACTTGGACTGCCTTTGAGCAGCCTGAGGGCAGCAATATCCCAGGAACATCAACTAAATTTCGGAGACTTGAGGCAAAGTGAAATTCACACCAGTTACTCCATCTATCATCATTCTATTATGCAGGAAGTACCGCACGTCTATGGGTCATCTAATAATGTTAGCAGACTTCTAGATGTTACCACTGCTAGGCTTAGGCTCGGATACAAGTACCTCTGGGAATTTGTAACATCTGCTGATGTAGATTTGACTAAACGTAAACTCTGTCAGCAGAACTACTCGCATACTTTGCGTCATTATATAATGCAATGTGAAAAAATCGCGGAATTTAGAGATAAGACCATCAATAGTGTCCAAGAAATGTGTAAGTACTTCATTCATAATGATGGGCTACCTTACCTTGAGGTTACCTTGAGGTGCTTCCAGGGCTTAGCGTCCCCGCGGCCCGGTCGTCGACCAGGCCTCCTGGTTGCCGGACTGATCAACCAGGCTGTTGGACGCGGCTGCTCGCAGCCTGACGTAATTTCGGGCAGCCGCTGCTCGCGGCTGCCCGAAATCTTAGCGAAGTATCCAAAATTTGCTTACTGTAGGTAATTCCTGCACATGACTGTAAAGCTGCCGCCCAGTTGGGTGGGTGTGCAGCACATGACTGTAAAGCTGCCGCCCAGTTGGGTGGGTGTGCAGCAAGACTAGTAACTGTGTGACTCACCATAGATGTAAAGTGCCTTGTATAGTGACTGTTGTGAGCCTCTTGTTGATCACTTATGACACAAAAGATTATTGATGTGTGGATTTGCGTGGGTGATTAGATATGTATGTGTATGTATATATGTATACGTATATATATATGTACATGTATGTATGTATGTATGAGAGTGTGTACATGTATATATAACATTAATAATTTTGTAACTAGCGTCAAAAATTGTTATTTGCTTAGCTAAACGAACTAGAGGGTTCAGTTCCTGAACCGATTATGTGCCTCTGTAATCCTTTACACCACCGCCCACGGGATGGGTATGGGGGTGCATAATAAGGAAAGACACTGAAATTGAATTGGGCATTGTTCACCTATGGTATACATAGCTACCACCTAAGGCTCCTTATTTTAGTATTTTTGATGATTTTCAAGACTTAATAATTAAGATTGTAGTGAAGTCGTCAGCGAAGATTACAGCTGTTTACGGATGAATACTCGTTACTAACAGTTTACTCTTTACTGAAAATAGTAAAAAAAAAGTTATAATAAGTAGTCATTCTGTGTCCACTAATGTTTCAATCCATGATTTAAACCACTATTTTGCAGTGCATACTGTTAAAGGTTAGCACTTAGGAGAAATCTTGGTGCTTCTCAGTAAATTATAATAAGCACTCCATAAATTATTACATATAATAATGGTTCGTTCGCCAGACATTATATACAATAGTGTAAACTTTGAAAAACGAAAAGAGAATGGATTGTTTAACTTCAACAGAAAACGATGTGACGTGGGAATGTCTTTGGGGTACACTACTACAAATAGGATGAATAGGGGTCGACATCAAGTCACACGCGATATTGATGAGGTCCACTACCACCCAAAAGGATAGGTATGGGGTCCACTTCCACCTGTTGGATGGGAATGGGTCCACTACCGCCAAGAGGATGTGTATATCCTCGAGAATATACACATTTCAAGGATCTGCCGGAAACGCTATGCGTGCTAGTGGCTTTACAAGAATGTAAAATCATCATTACTTTGTACTCTCTTAACCCCAATGTAACTTCTTGAATATAAATAAATAAAATATATGGTTCACTACCGCCCACAGGGTGGGTATAGGGTCCACTGCCATCCACTGGAAGAGTAAGGTACCGGGTCCACTACCATCCAAAGAATTGGTATGGGGTCCACTACCGCACAAAGGTGGGTGGTAGTGAACTCCATACCTATCCTGTGGGCGGTAATGGATCCCATACCCACTCTATAGGCGGTAGTGGTCCACATACTCATCCAACAGTTGTTAGTAGACCCCCATTAACATCCTACAAAAAAAGTATAGTTTCTCTTATTTTGAGTATTCTACAAACACCTAGGTCATCTAAAACACTAGCCTAGAGGCTTAACAAATGGTTTGAGCATCTTGGATGGTAGTAACTTGACAGATAAATAGGATATTTAAGTTAATTTTCTTGTGTAATAATTACAAAAAGATGGTAAAAATGATATAATTTTTACCTTGGCTTGCCTTATTAACCATATTCCTGCACCAGGGTAAACTCTAAATGCGCTTTAGTCTTAATTGGTATTACTTTACAGATGAATCTTAAGCAGATTCGTTTGCTTAAAATACTGTTAGGGAGGGGGGGGGGGCGGGACTCCGGGGACCACTACATAGCCCCAGACGGCTCTGGTGGTCCCGTCTCATGAGCAAAACCAGTTGTTTGCACAAGTTTCTCTACTCTCGTCGCAAAAGTCCCTCAGGAGTAGTTTCTACAGTTCTCCTCTACCACAACCCCAGTAAGTGTAACACGGGTGCTTCGTTCTTTCTTTTAATCTACTTTTACCTTCACCCGGTCCTTATCTTTATTCGCTTCTCAAACCAAGGGACCCCCAGAGCTATACTTGAGCCGACCCCACGCCACGTGGTCTTAAGCCGTTGATCGACTTAAGATTCTACAACCATATGACGTGAAAACGGACTTCTAGCAAAACTCTAGAATCGCCTTGCGCTGCCACCACCAGACCATTACCACTGAGCAATGACCGAGGTCTGGATCGATCATACTAATAAACCTCGGGGCTTGATCCCCCACTAGTAATATATGAATTGAATTTTACGTTAAGTGTGGAATTATTAGAAATCAAAGGGACAATGAATTCTTACTCGGTGTTAGAATCGGCGGCCCAACTCAACTCGGCCTCTTAGGCTACCCACGTGGTCCGGGACAATACAATATATACAACGACAACCCAGTGTCCGGACACCTCCATGAACACGGTATACAATATATACAACAACTCAGTGTCCGGACAATTCAATTTTCAAGTGTTCAATTTTCATGCTACGTCTTTGATTTTGGTATCGAATTGTTCGCAATAAAATTCTCTAAAGAGATATATGCATGTAAGGCCAAAAAGCCCGGCGTGCTACCCACAGCAAACCAGAAAATTCGCCGAGAGTTACCCGTGAAGAAGCACCCATCCACACGCCGAAGTGTATGCACTTCGAACCAAGCCCACCAGAGAAGGAAGAGGGGTTGCAGATGAAACCAAGATCAAGTTGACCAACACCCCCAATTCCAAGTTCCTAAAATACAAATGGGGCAGGTCTGGGCCCACCAACCGGTTCACAACCTAGAGCATTGCAACACCAAAAACCGGCGATGCAAAGCACTCGCTGCTTTGGGAGTGACCTCTATTTCCACAGTGGAATAGGGAAGTAGAAGCACATGGGAAGGGGGGGGGGGGGACAAGGCCCACATTACTCTGGGTTGTAGGTGTCGCTGACCCAATGAGCAGCAAGGGTGGAGGAAGAAATTATGAACATCACTGAGTGGCACCGGTGACGAACCACCCTCAAATTCCCACAGCGCGAGAGTGGGCACGGAAGAGGTATCCATAGTACAACCCAGCCTGCAGGGAGGGGGGGGGGGAATCTGGGGCCTGCAGTGTGAATGATGCCTGCAAGAAGCCCAGGCATTGGGGTCCACGATGCTGTTAAATACTGTCAATGCAGGTAACCAGCCCCCCGAAGTCTAATCAAAAGCCAAGGGAAAAGCAAGGGAATTCCAGAGCGCACACACTATGCGGCCCTAAAAACCGGAAGGCAGTGTAACGGGGGGAGGGGGGAAATAGCTCTATCTTGTCCATTATTCCACCCCCCAGTTAACTAACGAGGCCGGGGGAAACAGCTCTCTCTAGTCCGTTATCCCGTCCTCAGTTAGCTAACTATTCTAGAGCACTCCCAGAGATCCTAAGGCAACCTCTCTCGTTCAACACCTTGTAACCTAGGTATTTGACTACCTAGGTGCTAAGACTACAAGGCGCCGAGACTTGATCAGCTACCCGAAACTCTAGAGAGAACTCTAGAATACAGAATCATTGCCACAAACGTATAAGAGGAAACGAAAGGAAAGAAATGAATAGTGAAGTAATTAGTGAGGGTTTGGGGTGAGAGGTAGGGAGGTGGGAGGAGCGAGGAGGGTCATTAGTTGAAAGTGAGAGTTTAGAGAGGGGTGGAGGGAGAGGTGTAGATAGGTAGAAGGAGAAGAGTAGATAGTAGAAGTAGAAGAGTAGATAGTAGAAGACGAAATGCTGCCACCATCCATTCATGATCATTACATACAAGACAAGGAATGGAACTTGTCTGTATCACAAAATTCTCAAAAGATGTTATCATGAGTTCATTATTAGTATGTTCCCTCTGTACCCTGTATCAACTCCAAACATGTACTGGTTAATATCATGAACCCAATAATCCCCGAGGCTTTCTCACCTCAACTCAACTCTAGGGACACAGTGAAAGACTATTTAAATAATAAATTCAACAAATATATATTTCAACTTAAGCAATCCAATTAAAATGTTAAAGATTAATATTCAAAGTGAGTCATCCTCCAAGAATCTGAGAACACTACAACTTGACTGCCCCTGATCATCACACAACACTTGTAAAACACGACCAAGTCACCTAAATGTTCACTCACCGAGGACTGAGTCTAAGTTGAATAGAGAGGGGGGGGGGGGAGTCTGCAATTTTCAGGCAGCGTCACCCCCCGTCTGGTGACGGCCTATCTCAGCGGCTGTCCTCTGCTCTCCTGGCTCGTCTGCTGTTCCCTTCTCTTCTGTATGTGCGTCTCTCCTCTCTTCTGGCTCCCACCTGTGGGTGAACAGAAAGGCGACAATATCGTGCTCCCAAGATGTTTGTGTGACCCTGTAGTTTGTATAGGGTTACACAGTCCAGTCATACCGCTCTCCTCCTGGCAACGACTACACTCAAATTTTAATAATCCAATTACCCCTGAATGATATTGACTTGGTGGAACATAAAACAGTAACAGAGTAAAGTTAGAGAAGAGAGAATAAGATCGTCACTACTTTTAACTTGTCACCTAAACCAATCTCCACAATAAATATCAACACTAAAAGACAAAACACTAGCCTAACCGTTCTTAATCTTAAGTACTTAAATATCCATTACTCCCCACCCTTAACCTACAGCCACCTACGTGACCCAGAGTGTTTCCCTAGCTTCTCCGCCGGTCAACAACTCCAAACTGTTGCCACCCCCTGTGACCAGACTATCTAACGTCGAGCGTCCCCAACGTGAAGTCTACTGACATACTAAGCCTCCCCCCGTTACAATGTTGGCAGCGGTGTTGAACAATGTTGTAGGTAGATGGTGTTCTTTAACATTGTTCAGTCCCACGTGTCTTTTTGCCGCTCAGGCGCTATCAGGGAGATCTTGACAGGTGTTTTACTTTCGCGATTTAGTGAGTTTTTTTCAGGCTAGGAGATAGTGATTCTCTAGTGTTGTGGTTTAGTGATTTTGTGAGTTTTGTGGTGTTCAGGGAATGTTCACCAGAACTTGCGTGTGTAGTGATTAATGTTAGTGATAAGATTTGGTGATTTGGGAACTTAGCGGTGTTGGTAGTGGAGCTCACCTGAGTGTGACAGGTGACCTCGCATGTCCCACGGGGACACCCAGCCACCGCTGGTCTCCAGGTCAGTGGGGAGTGGCAGGTGTAGTTTTTAAGTAGTGGTTCTTCTCAGATTATTGCGATCGACTGTTTTACTCCATTTGAACGCAATAACCCGAGGTGTACTGGTATTGTACAGCATACTAGGGGGAGGCTTAGTATGTCAGTAGACTTCACGTTGGGGACGCTCGACGTTAGATAGTCTGGTCACAGGGGGTGGCAACAGTTTGCAGTTGTTGACCGGCGGAGAAGCTAGGGAAACACTCTGGGTCACGTAGGTGGCTGTAGGTTAAGGGTGGAATAATGGACAAGATAGAGCTATTTCCCCCCTCCCCCCGTTACAGCAGAACTCAAGAGCAAAACAGCAAAAATACAGAAAGAAAAGCACAAAATAAAAAACACCAAGACTGAACCGCTGCAAACGAGCAGCCAGGGAGAAACATCGAAGTGCCCATGTGCAGTTTGGAAAAGTGCAGGTGTGAAAACTGCAGTGCCCCCACCAACCAAAAACAATAGGTTGGCAACCTAAGCTTTCCAAATAACTGATCAATTTCAGTCAATAATGAATAAACAAACCATAATGCTGCATAATAAACATATAAATTTTGTTAATACATACCTTTCAAAAATCTAAGCCATTTTGGAAGAAAATTTTCAACCTTGTTCATGATGAGGACACGACGGCAACAGAGGGCGACACTGCTTTCGGCATCACGATTCAGGTCATACAAACCTAAATTAAAGGATACAGTCATAACTATTCAATATATAAAAGGATTAATAAACTTCAGCTTTGAATGTAATGAAATTCGCAGTGTGAAATTCCGACTTTTTATACCAAAAATCTGACAATTACTGAAAGCGTCGGTGGGTCACATTTTGCCCAAACCCCCCTGCAGATTTCAAAATATGAGAAACATCCCAAATTCGATACCTGAACCATATTTTGGACCCAAATTCTGGTTCTCTGCACCTATTCGCAGTTTGAAATTCCGACTTTTTATACCAAAAATATGCCAATTCTTGAGAGCGGCGGTGGGTCACATTTTGCCCAAACCCCCCTGCAGTTTTCAAAATATCCCAAACATCCCAAATTTGATACCTGAGCCATATTTTGGACCCAAATTCTGGTTCTCTGCACCTATTCGCAGTTTGAAATTCCGACTTTTTATACCAAAAATATGCCAATTCTTGAGAGCGGCGGTGGGTCACATTTTGCCCAAACCCCCCTGCAGTTTTCAAAATATCCAAAACATCCCAAATTCGATACTGAGCCATATTTTGGATCCAAATTCTGGCTCTCTGCACCTATTCGCAGTTTGAAATTCCGACTTTTTATACCAAAAATCTGCCAATTACTGAAAGCGGCGGTGGATCACATTTTCATAAACACGGGAACAGTAAAAATCAAAACAAGATAAAACACAAAGAGAATACACCGAGGGAAAAAATAGAGGAGCACTAAGACACTAGAATATAAACACAACAATAACAAACACAGGAGCACCCGACACAGGGAAGGGATGGGAACTATCAGGAGAAAGTGCCGTTGTTCTTCTTGTTTAAGATTCGCTACTTGGAACAAAAAAGTTCAAAGTAGCACGGGCTATGGGGAGCCCGTAGTGGACTTACCTGGCACAGAAGAGGGGCGATGAGTCGGAGAAAGTGCCAAGCCATTGCGACTATATTGCACTGGGAAGGGATCAGGATAAGGATTTGGGATGGGAGGGGGGGAGGGGAAGGACACCTCATACTCATACTTCTCCTGAGACTGTGCACGATTTAGTGAAGAGTTGCACCACCACACTGTACGTATCAGGTTGTGCAGCTCCTGAACTTTATAGTGGCAAATGTCAGCCTCGTGCCGGCGCCGCTCCAAGGACGAATATGCACAACATCTTACGAATACTTTCCTAGAGTTACTGTTGTTATGTAAAGCAAGACAAAATATAAAGATTCTCAGCTTGCTTCTCTGAAATTCTGGGACGGAAAAATATTATCCATTTCGATTGCAGCAAATCATGCGTACATCACTCGGTCAGTGGGGTTAAACACGGCTGGGTCTGGCCAGTAACTGGTAGGGTCGCCTGCGGGGACAGCCTCGTCTTGGCTAGGATAACCCCGATAAAGTAAAATATCTACTAGCTATTCCATGTAGCAGGCAAGAAGGTCCACATATCTATGGAGCATGTAATAATATCAACAGATATCCAGGCGTTGCTTGGCTCGGTTTAGACTGTTATAACTGTGGTGTCCCTTCAACACGCATACATCTTTCGCCTTTTACTGGGTTACAACTACATGGGAGAGAACAGTGCCTGGTGCCCTGTAATTTGGCACTGGAGCCCTGTTAGTTATATCGAGGTCCTCTTGGGCCAACTGCTGACTTTTCGCACGATGCCACCATCAACAGTTGGCTAACACTTCGGTATCTATTTACTGCTGGGTGAACGAAAACGTCGTTCAAACGCTTCTATCCCGTCGCGGGAAAGGAACCCGGAACCTTTCGGCTCTAACCCAGTTGCACAGTTTCCGTAAAAGCACATTCCTCGACGCTTGCACACCTGAGAGCTACATATGTGCTTCCAAACCCGCTGTTTACACACTATAAAGCCATTTGTCTGCCTTGTGACCCGCCTCTTAGATACTAGAAAGCCACATATATGTTTTATAGACCGCTATTCAGACACCGCAGAGTCATATGTCTGCTTCTTGACCCGCTGCTCAGACACCAGACACACACATGTGCTTCGTGGCCCCGCCCCTCACAGACAGACACATAACCTTGAGTGTTATGTTGAGGGCAAGTGTGTGCATACAGGCGGACTCTGCGTCAAGGACGTGAGACTCGGAGTAGCCCAAGTTTTTGCAAACCAATAAAAAAATATTGCGACATAAGAGTGATATTGAAACTCCCTTGCCCTCCTCTCCCTGGGATGCGAGTGATGGGGAAGGGGACCACCCTTCTCCTCCCATGATAAATAGTTGAGATTTTTACGATTGATAATAGTCACGTGTCCTTATTTGCTGTTGGAACCATGTTGTGATGGAAGTTGTCGCCTCAAGTTACTGGTGGGGGGGGGGGGGGGTTACTGTCAGCACAACACCACCACCACCGACACAACCCGATAACACGGCCACCGACAACAGGACGATCTCCAACAGGACGACCACCAACAGGACGATCACCGGCAGGACGATCACCGGCAGGACGACCACCAACAGGACGACCACCAACAGGGCGACCTCCAACAGGACGACCACCAACAGGGCGACCACCAACAGGACGACCACCAACAGGGCGACCACCAACAGGGCGACCACCAACAGGACGACCACCAACAGGGCGACCACCAACAGGACGACCACCAACAGGGCGACCTCCAACAGGACGACCACCAACAGGACGACCACCAGCAGGACGACCACCAACAGGACGACCACCAACAGGGCGACCTCCAACAGGACGACCACCAACAGAACACGACAACAACATCAGCATGTTCGTAAAGACAGGAGAAGCAAAACAGTAAACAAAACAACACACATAAATCAAGACAGCATAAGAGAACAAGCATAAAAAAGAACCCAAAGTATGCAATATAATAAATCAGTAGAGGAGTGGGACAGAAACGTGTGGGCACGTTTTCTTCCACCAAATGTCTCTATTCACCTAGCAGTAATATTAGGATACCCGGGAGCAGGAAAACTGTTGCAGGGTTGCATTCCTTAGCAGGGACAATAGTTCAAATTTAATAAGGCGATATAAGCTTAACGTGTAATAATTATATTATATTATATTATATTATATTATATTATATTATATTATATTATATTATATATATGCACACACAAACAGGATGCCTGTCCCGAGAAAACGAAACAAATTAAAAGAACCTCGCCTCCAAGACTGGCAGGCCTCCAAGACTGGCAGTCCTCCAAGACTGGCAGGCCTCCAAGACTGGCAGTCCTCCAAGACTGGCAGTCCTCCAAGACTGGCAGTCCTCCAACACTGGCAGTCCTCCAAGACTGGCAGTCCTCCAAGACTGGCAGTCCTCCAAGACTGGCAGTCCTCCAAGACTGGCAGTCCTCCAACACTGGCAGTCCTCCAACACTGGCAGTCCTCCAACACTGGCAGTCCTCCAAGACTGGCAGTCCTCCAAGACTGGCAGTCCTCCAAGACTGGCAGTCCTCCAAGACTGGCAGGCCTCCAAGACTGGCAGTCCTCCAAGACTGGCAGTCCTCCAAGACTGGCAGTCCTCCAAGACTGGCAGTCCTCCAAGACTGGCAGGCCTCCAAGACTGGCAGTCCTCCAAGACTGGCAGGCCTCCAAGACTGGCAGGCCTCCAAGACTGGCAGGCCTCCAAGACTGGCAGGCCTCCAAGACTGGCAGGCCTCCAACACTGGCAGTCCTCCAACACTGGTAGGCCGTCATGGTTACCAGATGGCCTGAAGCGCCTACCATGATAACCGCATTGTCTGAGGGCGAGCAGGTTAAGGGTGTGGCCTCAAGGGCGAACGGAAGGTGATCTGGAGGGCAAGCAGAGTCTGGTGGTGACTTGGAGGACAAGCAGAGTCTGCTGGTGACTTGGAGGACAAGCAGAGTACTTCTGGTGACCTGGAGGACAAGCAGAGTCTGCTGGCTGCCTGGGCATAGGGTAAAGTCACACTGTGGGTGTGCCACTGAACTAAGCGGAAAATTAAGAAGTAATCATGATGGACCAAACGTTGAGGAGAGAGGCGCCCTGATCCTTGCAGGAATGTTCCATCAGTTGTGTACCTCATCTGTTGCTCTCTTATTTCTCCATATACACAGCCCAAGTGCATATTTTATTGATGAAAAACACGTGGCGTACAGGAGAGTGTTGTGGTGTGGAAGTGTGGACCAGTGTTGTGTGTGTGTGTGACCCCCACTGTGGTGTGACGCACAGGTGTGTGTGGTGAAGGGACTCGCGAGGTTTACCTACGCAGTAACCAACTGTAAACATAATTCTAAACAAAACATAATCGGTCAGAGGTCTTGAGCTAAAGCAAGTTTCGAGCGAGATATTGTAATGTATAACTTAGTGGTGGGGTTGTGATGCTGCCTCACCTTACAACTCTCAGCATGTAGAGGCACGCACACGACGCTGCCTCTATTTGATCTACACACAGTCCTTTATTATTTAACAAAATGCACTTTTGTGAATCGTCAACAATGCTGCTGGGATGATCTTTCTGAAGACATTCCATTAAAAACACGAGGAATACTGGCATTTCTTGTTAGGAGATATAATGCTTCAATATAATATTTTCATTAGTCTCTCCGGCCATCATAGAACAAGTATAACATACACCAATACCCACATGAGGGAGCCCCATGGTGTACCCAACATCCGTAAGTCGCTAGACAATGACAAAATCCCATTCCGGTCAAAATGGTGTAATATAAGACTTTAAACAGACAAATTACTCTTGACTCTTTAGACCTTGAACTGTGGTCGCTTCCAGCGATGATTCCCGGGACTCAGGTTCAGGGGAATTGAGGCTTAAGACCCACAATCACGCTTGAGACCAGCAGTTGGACCAATAGACGCTCAGCACCGCGGAAACACCAATAGCAACCATCACCGCCTCGTTTGGGGGGAGTGGGGGGGGGGGTGTTGAGTGGAGGGGGGGGTGTTGAGTGGAGGGGGAAGATAGGCCGTAGAAACAAGGCAATTTGCAGGTTTGGTCCGAGGCGGAACTTGAACC